GTGTGAAGGTACTGGTTAATGTGTGAAGGTACTGGTTAATGTGTGAAGATACTGGTTACTGTCTGAAGGTACTGGTTAATGTGTGAAGGTACTGGTTAATGTGTGAAGATACTGGTTACTGTCTGAAGGTACTGGTTAATGTGTGAAGGTACTGGTTAATGTGTGAAGGTACTGGTTAATGTGTGAAGGTACTGGTTAATGTGTGAAGATACTGGTTACTGTTGAAGGTACTGGTTAATGTGTGAAGATACTGGTTACTGTCTGAAGGTACTGGTTAATGTGTGAAGGTACTGGTTAATGTGTGAAGGTACTGGTTAATGTGTGAAGGTACTGGTTACTGTCTGAAGGTACTGGTTAATGTGTGAAGATACTGGTTACTGTCTGAAGGTACTGGTTAATGTGTGAAGGTACTGGTTAATGTGTGAAGGTACTGGTTAATGTGTGAAGGTACTGGTTAATGTGTGAAGATACTGGTTACTGTCTGAAGGTACTGGTTAATGTGTGAAGGTACTGGTTAATGTGTGAAGGTACTGGTTAATGTGTGAAGGTGCTGGTTAATGTGTGAAGGTACTGGTTAGTGCGTGAGGGTACTGGTTAATGTGTGAAGATACTGGTTAATGTGTGAAGGTACTGGTTAATGTGTGAAGGTACTGGTTAATGTGTGAAGGTACTGGTTAATGTGTGAAGGTACTGGTTAATGTGTGAAGGTACTGGTTAATGTGTGAAGGTACTGGTTAGTGTGTGAAGGTACTGGTTAATGTGTGAAGGTACTGGTTAGTGTGTGAAGGTACTGGTTAATGTGTGAAGGTACTGGTTAATGTGTGAAGGTACTGGTTAATGTGTGAAGGTACTGGTTAGTGTGTGAAGGTACTGGTTGTGTGAAGGTACTGGTTAATGTGTGAACGTACTGGTTGTGTGAAGGTACTGGTTAATGTGTGAAGGTACTGTTTAGTGTGAAGGTACTGGTTAATGTGTGAAGGTACTAGTTAGTGTGATGGCACTGGTTAATGGAATTGGGCTAGTGGCGGTGTAAAATAAAGTTGGTGCAGTTGGTTAATCACTGTCGAAAAAAAAAAAGTGAAAGCTTGTCTGTTTTGAAGGTGAGGCTTTCAGCGAGGTGGTCTGTTAGTGAGCTTAACAAGGTGTTGCAGATCTCAAAAGTGAGTTTTGCTTACTCTCCAGCTGACAGCTATGACAATCTGTGAGAGAGTGCTGAATCGATAGCTTGGACCGGCGAGATGTTGGATCTCTGAGTGTGGTATCCCGATGCAAAGCATGTGTGCCAGAGTCGTACTCCCGCAAACGTGGTTGCCCACTCCTGCAACCCAGTTTGGGTTTGGTAAGTAAGACACGTGTATAACGTCATGGTATCTTTATTGGCGAAACATTTATGCCTGCACAACAGGTTTTTTCAGTCTGATACAGAGGCAAGAAGATGAATAATTTTTTTTATTATTATTATTATAATAAAAAAGAAGTGCTAAGCCACAAGGGCTATACAGCAGATGAATAATTTACTGAAGACAGAGTAGAGTTACAGCAGTCGAAGACATTGTTTTAAGTAGGCAGAGCTCACCAGTGAAAAATAGATCAGGTCCATAAGGTTGGGGGTTGGTAGATCTTGAGTATTATTATAGTCATGATTAAGCATTAAACCCACAAGGGTCATGCAGTGCTGCAGTAAATCTTGAAACTGGATAATGCAGCTAAGCAAGTTCACTGCCGTGAACATCAGTACGTAAAGGTTCCTTGAATTAAGCCTGACTGCCTTAACCCACCCCACAGGCACTGTATAATCCCTACAGGTTTAGTGTTCCCCATATAATAAAAGAACCGCTAAGCCACAAGGGCTATACAGCGCTGCAGGGCAGGAAGGAAGCGAGGGCATCAGGTGGCAAAAGGGAGATGGATGAGTAATAGGTTACGGAAAACAGCGGGGCAGTGGATGGTGAAAGGGTAAAGGGCAGCAAGAGACTGAGCTAGAAAGGGCTGAGGGGAGTGCGTAAGGTATCATCATCAGAGTTTGTGGAGTATATCAGTCGTTGTCAAGAAGTCAATGAGAGAGTCAGGATTAAAGGAGGGTCCATCAGCAAGAAGGGAAGGTAAAGAGAGAGTAGTAGAACGAAGACGGCGTTGGAGGTAAATTCTGCGTGCTCGTTGATAGAGAGGGCAGTCTAACAGAATGTGGCTAATCGATACTGGAACTTGACACTGCTCACAGAGAGGTACAGGGTGCCTCTCCATGAGATACCCGTGAGTAAGACGAGTGTGGCCAATGCGAAGGCGGGAGAGAGTGGTCTCCCAACCACGGCACTGATGACAAGAAGACGGCCAGTAACCTATGCTCGGTTTAATAGAATGAAGTTTGTTTCCAAGCAGAGTTGACCAACGTTGTTGCCAACAGGCGTGAAGGTGGGTAGCTATTGCAGCAAAATAGTCCAGAAATGGAACACCTCTATAGGAAATTGGTAGGTCATGTACTGCTGACCGCACAGCAGTGTCTGCCTGTTCATTATTATTATTATTATTATAATCAAGGGGGAAGCGCTAAACCCGGAGGATTATACAGCGCCTGGGGGGGATATGTGGAAGGCATTCAGGCTTAATTCGGGGAACTGGAGCACAGATCCAATTCCCTAAATCAAGAGCCCCTCACCAACATCAAGGAACCTTCCTTGAGGGGTGCCTGTTCATTGCCCTGTACGTCGACAAGACCAGGGACCCAACAAAAAACATCTTTATGCTTGGTAAAGATATGGTGTAGCCAAAGTTGGATACGTAGAACTAGGGGGAGAGATGTATCAGATTTTCGTACAGCCTGTAGAGCACTAAGGGAGTCTGAGACTACCACAAATGATGACACAGGCATAGATGCGATACGAATAAGTGCTGCAAGAATGGCATACAATTCAGCAGTAAAAATGCTAGCCGAAGATAGTAAATGCCCCCGCATGACGCTGTCCGGAAACACTGCTGCGAATCCGACGCCGTCTGAAGACTTGGAGCCATCTGTGTACACAGCAATGGCATGAGAATGGGAGTGGTAGTGATCAAGAAAAACAGAGCGGGAAGCCACCGTAGGCAGTTGAGCTTTCGAGCAAGGGAGTGAGAAAGAACAGACCCGAACAGCTGGAACTTCCCAGGGGGGTAGGGAAAAGTGAGATGCTACATGAACATAAAGGTGGTAACTGAAGGGAAGACAAGAGTGAATGTAGGCGAAGAGAAAAGGGACGGAGCAAACGGGCGGCGAACGAATAAAGAATGTCTACTAACGTCGGTGACCATTCTATAAATGGAAGGATTGTGGAGATCATGAGAGCGTACATAGTAGCAAAGGCAATGGGCATCACGGCGATCAGACAAGGATGGAACATTCGCTTCTGCATAGAGGCTCTCAACAGGGGAAGATCGAAAAGCACCAAGGCATAAACGTAATCCTTGGTGATGGATGGGGTTAAGAGTGTTCCCCATAATAGTATGGTACCTGGCTGGAAATGCTAGATAAAAAGTTAATGAAATGTGAAGATTATTTTATTATAATCATGGGGGAGCACTAAACCCATAGGATTATACAGTGTATGTTGGGGGAAGGATGGAAGGTATTCAGGCTCAATTCAGGAAACAGGAGCACAGATCCAATTCCCTAGATAAAGAGCCCCTCACCAGCATCAAGGAGCCTCCCTTGAGGGGATGAAATGTGAAATTGAATTTGTAGATTGCTTATAACGCACTGTAGTCTCTGAAACAACGAAAGAAGAGGTGGATGTAGGTGCAGCCTGTATGAATGCAGCAGGTAGAGCATATAACTTATGAAAATGTTAACAGATTCTTAGTAAATGTCCTTGGTTCAATCACAGGCATAGCTGGAAATATTGGACGCGTTTCCTCACACCTGCAGTCCTTGTTCACTTAGCAGTAAGTAGCTGGGCGTTAGTCGACTGGTGTAGGTGGCATCCCAGGGGACAAGACTGAAGGATCACAGTGGAAACGAGTGTCCTCAATGACGCCCTGACTATATTAGATTATCCTGGATGGCTAACTTTCCCAGTTAAAAATCTGAATAAAATCTTGTCTTACTCTGGTGAATGAAACACTGGTGCAACATTTGGGCATCTTTAATGTGGAGAAGTTTTGCCAGCCAATACCTAAAACAGTGTTTAAATTGTCTCAAGACTGTGGAGCGGAGCTCTTCTCCAGGCTGAGGGAATGACCACCTCAAAGCTACTACAAAGGTGATGGACTGAATACATTGTCTTTAATTCTCTCCTGCTTCCTCATCTGCATTTGGCTGATGAAGCCTACTGTGTAGGCAAAAATTTTCAGAATAAAGAGACCTAAATGTTGCAAATTTATCTTGCTTATCAAAAAGTCCGACATCTATGTAGGTGCAAGACCAATCACTCTAGTATCTTCCAGGTGTAGATTATGATGCATATCTCACCTGTGTTCTAGGGTATACTGTTCTAAGGGATTCTAGCACTCCCAGTAATTTAGGTGCTCGGCTATGTCATTTGCTTTTAAGGGGGCTTTTAGTATACAGCAAGATTCCAGCCTAGAGAACAAGTGACCTGAAGAATATCATGGCAAGTGCAGAGATAGGGATTAGTGGAGGTGGATGCAAAAATTTAAGTCAAAAGTTGGTACAACTGGTTATTAGTATTTCACTTGGTAGCTCTTCCCTGTGTGCCCCATTTGAAGGATGACTTATCTTTCCCCTTTTATTAGTGGTACTCAACACTTAGCATAAGCCTAATTAAACTACTAGTATGTGGTGGCCTAAAATAATCTAAAGTAAGGGTTTAGACATTACCAGATTCAATCCATGGCAGAGGGAGATGAGCTCAGTTTGAAGCAAGAGCCCCTCAAGATGAATTACCCTCCATACAGGGAAGATTGCATAATTTTGGCAAGGGGACATTAGTTGTTACTTGATGACAAATTATTTCATAGTAAAATAGTCACCTTACATGGCATTTTTCAAAACTTTAGGTAAAAGAAAATTTATATAATATATACACTTCTTTATTACAACTATTTAGATTTTTGGCAAGGAATTTTCAAAAGCAAATACAATAATTTTAAAAGAAAACTTATCCAAATATAGAACCAATTTACACAGGAAAAGTCTTTCCATAAACTATTTATCACAAGTGACATTTTATTACATTAAGTTAACCACTTCAGACTACTGTATCACTCAACTTTAAATGGATTACTAAAGTAGTGTATAGGGATCAAAACATGACTTCATTATCTGGTCCATTACTGGAATGTACTGGAAAGTATATTAATTTGCTGGAATGCTCTCTGGCCCCCTGACAGTATTTGGTTTAATCACAGGTACAATAAATATGAGATGATTAAATTGCCAGCTTTACAATTTACCAAAGCTCTTGAAACATTGAGTGAACAGTTCTTTGGAAGATTAATATATGTTGCAGTTTAGGTCTACAGATTCTTTATCTCTTTAGCAGCTTTGATTATTGCTGAAGCAGAAATACCAAACATATCCAATAATTCGTCACACTTTCCAGAGCGTGGTACACGAGGAACAGCCAGGTGACGGACGATTATGTCGCGCTCCAAGGCAACTGCAGACATCACTGCTTCACCAATGCCACCTAAAATTTTAATTTAAGAAACTTGCATTGTGTATTAGTTTCAAAGTACCTATCCCCCCTTCCCCACTAAAATACCTAGATAATTTAAGTTGTAATAAAGTTGGTAGAATTACCAACAATATGTAAAGTAAAAGGACAAGTGCAACTAATGTGACATTTTATTGTGGCAACGTTTCGTTCTCCAGGAGCTTTATCAAGCCATTACAAACAAGAAGAGTCCAATGACAAGCTACCTTTCCTCGATATCCTCATTCACAAAGTAGACAACCTAAGATTTCAAGTTTATCGGAAACCCACCAATAAAAATGATCTCGCACACTTCTATTCCAGTCAAGATACCAAGACCAAAAGAGGCATCATCGGGTTTTTCCTAAGAGCATACCGAATTTGTAGTCCTGAGTTTGATGAGGAATGTACATACATTCACCACTCACCAAGTTACATTTTCCTTCTTTTTTCATCAAAGACTGCAAGAAAAGAGCTTCAGATCATTAATTCTCCACACATCAACACCACTCCCAACAAAGTTATAATTCTTCCCAGCAGCCAGGTTGCACTGAACATCTCAGAAGTACTTTCACAAGCTAACACCAGAGTCGCCATCGCTTCTAGCACTTAAATAAAGGATCTAACCAGGACAAAATCCAAGCACCACGAACCAGTCAATGCAGGAGTTTACACTATACCCTGTGGAGGCTGTGACAAGATTTACGTAGGTGAAACAGCAAGAAACCTCGACACCCGCCTCAATGAACACATTTACTCATGTAGGAACGATAACTAACAACGCCTGTGTACAACACCGAAATTCCACCAATCATCTCATGAAATTCAGAGACGCCCAATTAATGATCAAAGAAACTAATTTCCGCAGACGCAAGTGCCTTGAATCAGCACTGATCGCCGTTTCAAATACAATTAAACAAAACAACGGCAGCTTCACCATCTCCGAAGTCTTAGCAAGAATCCTCCTGAAAACAGTAAACCCTGCCATCACAGTCTCTCCTGTTATACTACACAAAGCACATTACAGAGTGAACACTGAAACAAGCTGCCTCTTTCCAGTCTATATTTGTCCAACCTATTTTTATGTTACCCAAGTAACAGCTTTTATATCCTTTTACTCATGTACGAATTAATTGCTCTACCATATTTTATTACTTTTGTCACTACTACCACCACCACCACTAGTGAACATTGAAATGGTACCTCACTAGTATTGCACCTCACTGAGCCTTTATATACCCTCTGTGTCCATGTATTGTTTGTAATGGCTTGATAAAGCTCCTGGAGAGCGAAACGTTGCCACAATAAAATGTCACATTAGTTGCACTTGTGTCCTTTTACTTTACATAATTTAAGTTATTGCAGTATAACTAATAGAATAAGTATTACAACTTTTCTGAGTAACGAGTGTGCTAATGAAAGTAACTGAGCTATGCATAATAAATAAAATAAAAAAATAAATACATATATAGCTTAATTTTTAATATCTGGGGGTTATGCCTACTGCACTAGTTAAATTAAGATTTATTTTTGGTAGTAATGTTGATGGGGCAAGTTTACTGACTAATATTGTTTAACATAAGACTTAGGACCCTTAGTTTACCAAGTGCTCTTAATATTTTTTTTTTTTTTTTTTTTTTTTTTTTTGACAGGTCATCTCCCACTGATTACTTACATCAAATAAAGATTAATTTAAACATGGTAATAAAGCATTAAGTCCATGCAAAGCAAGCTTTGGCTAACTTCACTGACTGACAAGGTTACAGAAGATTTCAACCTTAAGTTTAATGCACACATAGCATCAGGTTAATTTGTTAACCAAGTGCACCGTAATTGAAAAGTACTTTCAAACTCCTACACTTACTTTCAAACTCCTACACTACACCACACCTCTAAAGGGTGGTAATGTGTGTTTTACAATAAAGAGAAAATAATTATTGTACCTTAATAAAGTGGGTAGGTGCATAAAGGAACCAAAGTTTACTGACAGCACGTCTTTGTTCCTGGCCTTCATATGCTAAATGTTCAGCGGTTAGTGAGTGCATGCACACCAATAGTTGTGTTTAATGTAAATTACATTCATACTACCTAGAGCTCTAGGGGCAACTTTAAAATCTAATACAGCAAGAGGAAAGAAGTGGATAACCAAGTAAGTGAATTTTATTTACTGCATTACTAATGAATTTATTAAAGAAAATTTATGATGTAGGCAAATAAATGAACTATTATTAAACAGTTAGGTATTATTTCAAGCAGGAAAATATTGCAAAGAGTACAGATAAAAAATTTAAATTAAAAAAAAATCAATCATTATGGGGGTGGTTAAGAAGTCTTAATTAAATGTTAAGCCCAGCTGCACAGTTATTTTTCCCTTCAAATTTAAAAGAATGGAAGATTTTAAATCTTCATAACCAACCTTCAGCGTAATGATCCTCTACAACAATGATGCGGCCACCACAGTCTCTTGCATTTTTAATAATTCCATCCTTGTCGATAGGCTTTATAGTAAAGAGATCCACGACACGCACGTTGATATCTTCGCCACTCAAACTTTCAGCAGCTTTCAGTGCCGTCTTCAATGTTATTCCTGCACCTATTACCAGGATTTGATCCTTGTCAGACGACTTTATTACATTAGCTTTGCCAATCTGGAAACATTTATTCAAATTTAGCATTTTAAAATTTTCAGGTGTCCTATATACTATTTCATTATGGGAATTAAACATGCTATAGAACACTTTCTAAATTTATAATAATTAATTTCTACATGTTATTTATCCCATTATGTATTTAAAAGGATAGTGAAGGTGTCACTAGAAAACCCTTAAACACTACACTATTTACATAGTCTGTGGGAATAGTAAAACCTCAAATTAATGGATTTCAGAAGCTACGGACCAAAAAGTTGGCCAGGCCAACATTGGAATTTGGACAAAATGGAAGTAGTCTGTAGAATCCAAATTTTGTCCATAGTGACCTAGAGTGGTTTCAGGGGCCAATTCTCCCATGGCCCAGTCCATGACCAGGCTTCATAGTGGATCAGGGCCTGATCAACCAGGACTGTTACTGCTGTCCACAAGTAAACCAATGTATGAACCACAGCCTGACTAGTCAGGTACTGACTTTAGGCATGTCCAGCTCCTCCTTGAAGACAGCCAGGGGTCTATTGGTATTGTCCCTTATGTATGCTGCAAGGCTGTTGAACAGTCTTGGGCCCCCGACACTTGTATTCTCTCGGGGGGGGGGGGGGGGGGGGGGGGGAGCTGCTGCATCTCCTGCTAAGTGTTACTTTTGTAAGGAGTGATTTTTGTGTGCAGATATGGGACTAGTTCCTCTAGGATTTTCCAATTGTACATTATCATGCATCTTTCTTGCCTGCATTCCAGGGAATACAACTCAAGGGACTTAAACCATTCCTAGTAATTTGGATGCTTTATCATACTTATACATACATGCCATGAAAGTTCTGTATATTCTCAAGGTCTGCAATTTCGCCTGCCTTGAAAGGGGGCCATTAATGTACAGCAATATTCCAGCCTAGAAAACAAGGAATCTAAAGAGAATCATGGACTTGGCATCTCTAGTTTTGAAGGTTCTCATTATCCATCTTATTTTCTGTGCAGATGTGGTAGATACATCATTGTGATCTTTGAAAGCGAGATTCTGACATTATCACTCCCATGTCCTTTACAACTTTTTTGCTCTATTGTGTGGCTGAATTTGCTTTATACTCCAATACAGTTCAAGTTTCCTAGCATTTTCCATAAGACTAACTGGAATTAGTTTTCGTTGAACCCCAATGTTTTCTGTGGCCTGTTAAAGATTTGGTTGATGTCCACCTGGAGATCTGCAGTGTCTTTGATAGACAACACTCGTACAAATTCAGGCATCATCTGCAAAGGGGGACACCATGCTGTGGTTTACATCTGTATGTCAGATACGAGGATGTGGAACAGGATGGAAGAGTACTCTACCTTGTGGAACAGAGCTCACTGTAGCCACTGACTTTACTGTTTACTATTACAGTGTTCTATTTGTTAGGAAGTTATAGACCCATCTACTAACTACTGTTAGTTCTTTATCACGTATTGTGTGTGCTATTACACCATGATGGCACTTGACTGCTTTTGCCAAGTCTGTATATACAGCCTCTCCTCACTTAGCGACGACCGACTTACGACAGGCTCTCTGAGCAGTATACAAAACTAAATGTATATTACAGCGGATTTCCTCTATTCTGTTTATTGCAATACAGTACACTGCTGTACAGTGGACCCTCAGTTATCAGCCATAATCCATTCCAGAAGGTCCGCCTAAAACCGAAATGGCCTAAAATCTAAATATTTCCCATATGAATTAATGTAAATACAATTAATCCGTTCCAGACACCCAAAAATAGTAACCAAAACTACATTTTTTAAAGATTATAGTTTTACATACACAAAACAATGACAACTAAAAAAATAAATAAATGAACATTTAAATCACTATTACATACCTTTATTGAAGACTTGTTGGCTAATGGAAGACAGGGAGGACATTGTTTGGAAGGGGAATCCCCCTCCATAAGGACTTCAGGTATCAAAGCCCTCTCTAGGGTTACTTCCTTCCCTGCCTGCCACACTCCATTTCCCTGCTACACTCCCTGCCTGCCTCCCTTCCACACTGCCTGTTTCCCTGCTACACTCCCTATGTCCTTTCCACAGCATATGTGTAAAGAACCTAAGATAACCCAAAAAAGTCCGAGTGACATATTTCCATTGGGATCCTGCCACCCTGTTACACTACCTTTCACAACATTAGCTTCCTTGATGTTTGGATGAATGAGCAGAAGTGTCCTCACTCACCCAGAGGAACAGCCAGACTGACTTACGAATGCACGAGTGGCTGGCAGGCAGGTGGGTCGACATGTCCCATACGGCCGATAACCGAGTTGGCTGATAAGTGGAATGGCCTATAACCGAGAGTCCACTGTATAAACCTTTAAAAATATACCACAAGTGTTATAAATGGTGCAAAGGTGACATTAAAACAATATCAAAGATGGTAGACAAACCAACCACCATTATAGTATGCTCCTCACATAGCGCCGAATTCGTTTACCAATGTGGTCTTTGGAATGGAACTCCGTTGCTAAGTGAGGCGAGGCTGTACTACATCTGCATTTTGTTTGTCCTCCAGAGCATCCAAGACTATCATAGTGGTCCAGTAGATGGGATAGGCAGGAGTTATCTGCTCTAAACTTATGTTGCCATGGGTTGTGCAACTGATGGGTGCCTAAGCGAGTGGCAATCCTGCTTCTTAGAACCCTTTCAAAGATTTTTTACGATGTGGGACTGGTAGTCTTCTAAGTCAATGAACCAAGTTTGACGATTTCAATATTTCCCTGGTATTCATCAGTCTCCCCTTGTCTAGAACTCATTTTCATTATTTCCCAAGCCATAGGCTACCTGTGCCAATTTATTGGCTATGCTCAGTCACATTTTCACTTGTCAGTCAGTCAAAAAAAATTTTTTCCTGGATTTAGTGTTTTGTATGATTAATATACTAAGTTAAATTAACAATGGTTTCTAAAGCAAATGGTGGTGCCAAGAGGAAATGTGAAAATTTCATATGAAGAGGAAACTCAGACTAATAAGGAAGGTCAAGTCTGGCGTCTAAATTGCATGGGCGTGTAAGGAACAAGTCGAGAAACAGTGACATCCATAAAAGCAAGGATAAACTTACGAACTATGCTCTTAGGATTATTTTAGATGCTAGCCATCTAGGATTTCACTAGTGGAACTTTACAGTACCATTAAAATAATTCTGTCATAGCACTTTAGTAGTGGAAAGTATAAAGTTAAGCAAACTTCCTGTAAATTACAGTACATACTGTATAATCAGTATAATGTCCACAACTCACGAAATCGTAATGACAGTACTACTGCACCTTCAACTTCATTTAAAATTCCTGTACAGTATAGTGCTGTGCTGTTTAGGTTACTATATTTTTTAATTTTAAAAGTTTTCTAAATCAACAATCTACCGATTCCAAAGTGTTCATTTACGACCCTGAAAAATAAATTTAATAATTTGTAATCTAGGGACGAAGTGGCAATAATATACCTCCCCTTCCCCATTCATACATTAATTAGAAGATTGACTGTATTGTGCTTTCCCAGCCCCCCATCCATCAAGGATGGGGGGCTATGATTGCCTTCCATTCCCCGGCACTAACCCCTATGAGTTCAGCACTTCCATGTAAAATGTGCATATTATTTTCTGGACATTTTCTATTTGGGAGTGGACGTGTCAGCGGATGGGTCTATGAAAGATGAGGTGAATCATAGAATTGATGAGGGAAAAAGAGTGAGTGGTGCACTTAAGAGTCTGTGGAGACAAAGAACTTTGTCCTTGGAGGCAAAGAGGGTAATGTATGAGAGTATAGTTTTACCAACGCTCTTATATGGGTGTGAAGCGTGGGTGATGAATGTTGCAGCGAGGAGAAGGCTGGAGGCAGTGGAGATGTCATGTCTGAGGGCAATGTGTGGTGTGAATATAATGCAGAGAATTCGTAGTTTGGAAGTTAGGAGGAGGTGCGGGATTACCAAAACTGTTGTCCAGAGGGCTGAGGAAGGGTTGTTGAGGTGGTTCGGACATGTAGAGAGAATGGAGCGAAACAGAATGACTTCAAGAGTGTATCAGTCTGTAGTGGAAGGAAGGCGGGGTAGGGGTCGGCCTAGGAAGGGTTGGAGGGAGGGGGTAAAGGAGGTTTTGTGTGCGAGGGGCTTGGACTTCCAGCAGGCATGCGTGAGCGTGTTTGATAGGAGTGAATGGAGACAAATGGTTTTTAATACTTGACGTGCTGTTGGAGTGTGAGCAAAGTAACATTTATGAAGGGATTCAGGGAAACCAGCAGGCCAGACTTGAGTCCTGGAGATGGGAAGTACAGTGCCTGCACTCTGAAGGAGGGGTGTTAATGTTGCAGTTTAAAAACTGTAGTGTAAAGCACCCTTCTGGCAAGACAGTGATGGAGTGAATGATGGTGAAAGTTTTTCTTTTTCGGGCCACCCTGCCTTGGTGGGAATCGGCCAGTGTGATAATAAAATAATATTTTCTATTTTCTTTAGCAGAAAATAATCCAATTTTTCACAACTGAAATAGTGAAAAAATCATTAACATTTTCACGAATACAGAATACATTAAGAAAATCTTTATACATTATGACTCCAAAATTTAACAAGATTGTACAGAATCATACAAGACCATAAAATATTACTATGCAAAAAAGCTGACCTCAAATTCATGATCATTATCATAGACAACTGCAGTCCCTGGACGAGAAGTACGGATGAAGCAAATGCCTTTAGTGTTTGCTGCTAGTTCACATGCACGTTCTGTAGATACAGCATCAGAAGGGTAGAACACCGTGGCAGTTGGGATGGAGCGGAACATTGCTATATCTTCTAGTGCCATCTGGCTGGGGCCATCTTCACCAATACTGATCCCGGCATGGGATCCTACACAATTTAAGTTGGTCTGTAAAACAGTGGTATTTAGTTATGAAAGTAATTTAAAACTTATTTCTACATTACGAGTTAAGATTTTAATAGGACAACCGGGGACATTCAGGGAAACAGGTTATTTTTATATAGCCAGACTTGAGTCCTGTAAATGGGAAGTACAATGCCTGCACTCTAAAGGAGGGGGTTTCGGGATATTAGTAGTTTGGAGGGATGTGTCGTGTATCTTTATACGTATATGCTTCTAAACTTGCGTTCCGAGCACCTCTGCAAAAACAGTGATAATGTGCGAGTGAGGTGAAAGTGTTGAATGATGAAAGTATTTTGTTTTTGGGAATTTTCTTTCTTTTTTGGGTCACCCTGCCTCGGTGGGAGACGGCCGACTTGTTGAGAGAGAGAGAGAGAGAGAGAGAGAAGAGAGAGAGAGAGAGAGAGAGAGAGAGAGAGAGAGAGAGAGAGAGAGAGAGAGAGAGAGAGAGAGAGAGAGAGAGAGAGAGAGAGAGAGAGAGAGAGAGAGAGAGAGAGAGAGAGAGAGAGAGAGAGAGAGAGAGAGAGGAGAGAGAGGGGAGAGAGAGAGAGAGAGAGAGAGAAAACCGTTTTACAATACTGCATTACTCAATGGAGATTCAACCAAGTTCTTTATGAGTAGTGTTAATTCTTAGAAGATTGTTCATCTACTGGTGTTTAATAATTTCCAGACATTATGTCTCATAACAGATACAAACTGCATCACCTATCTAATATGGTTCTAGTTAAAAATAATCAAATTTAAGACTATCTTCGTGATGTAGTGGTCATGAAGATCTGACATACAAGATTCATGTGCAAGGACTACATGGTATTTATGTTTGCAATTTCCAGAAGACACTGATGTGTAAACGACAGTACAAGTGGTTAGGTACAAGTAGAACGATGTGCAAGTAAAATTCTATACAGGGGTTAAAAATTAGACAAAGCTTAAACAGGAATCTAAAACTCTTGAAAAAAAAAAAAGCACTGCAAAATGGTGGTTATTACTAAGAAAATTAGATTTAAGTTACCTGTAGCAGAAAAACTACAAATATTGGAGTAGTCATGACAGAATTAGAACATTCCATTAGGACCATTATCTATGATACAAGATTTGGTTATTTTGTACCATTTAATAATGTACCTTAGGCTATATCTTGATTAATCAAGCAAATATGAAGCAATAAAGATTTTATTATATCCTACACCAGCCTTAGTGGTTAAAGAATTCTGCACTACACATTATACAAGAGTAATGCAAAGATGAAAGTTTTTCAAATAAAGTATTGGAGATCTATACTATTCACATGATTGAAGAAATGAAGTGAAGCCTTGCCAAGTACAGTCTGCCCTACACACACACACACACACACACACACACACACACACACACACACACACACACACACACACACACACACACACACACACACACACACAGGGGGGTTGTTATATTACTTTAGGTCTTACAAAACTAGGAACTGTGGAAAAACAGAATAAAGAAGCACAAGATAGTTTGCTTCAGATTTGCATTCATGTGTTTCAGAGCCTATCTCTAGAATATATCACTAATCTGGTTAATCAAGACATAAGAAATAAAGACCAATACAAGAGATTTGGTTATGGTAAACCAACCAAGCCAGAAAATTACAATTTACAGGTTGTCATTTAGTAAACTAATGAAATTCCCAGATCTGAAGCCAATGAATATGTAGGGAAAACCATTGAATATGCCAAAAGGTACAAAACAAATTTGCTATTTGGAGAAATTCAGAAATGCCTGAAGACATGAAATGGCAAAAACCAGAAGCAACTGGTGGGAGACAAAATTTATCTGGTTTAGTAACAGCATTTCATTATTGAAGTAGTACGTACTTTAACTTTTTTTTTTTTTTTTTTTTTTTTTTTTTTTTATTTCATTGAACTTCAAACGAATACACTGCAAGCCGTGAGCACTGCTGGTACACTATCAACAACAATGAAACTTATTTTGATTATTAAATTGTATAAAAGTACTCTAGTCATTAGCTTTGGAAACTACTGTACTGAAGATGAAAAGTGCTATGCAAACATTACTGCAGCAGTCAATGTGAAAAATGTATGAGCAAGTGAAATTATAGAACAAGTCTATGTTCCTTTCTCTCCTTTCTACAACAAATTTTTTTTTATTTCAATGTACATGTACAGTACCTTCAGTGTGTATCTACACTTCAAATTTTATGAATACGTCCTTTCAACGATTAAGAAATTATACCTGAGAAATAGCTCCCATGCGTAACTGATCAAAGGCACGGGTAAAGAAAGCAGCAAAAGTGGAGACAAAAGCCACAGTTCTGTCACGGCATGTTGCTCCAATACCAACACCCACCAAGTTTTGTTCTGCAATGAAGCATTCTATGTATCTGGAAAAAAAAAAAAGAAAAAAAAAAAGAAATTAAAGAAAATGACCAGTGATTATTCAGCACTAGCAATAAAACTTATAAACTGCATTTATATATACTGTACTTTATTCCTTTTGGCATTTTTTTTTTTTATCTGGCCTGCTTTCCCACAAAGAGGGTGATCCAAAAAGAATAAAAATTACAATGTATGCATACAGTGTCTTGCAGAAAGTCTTAACCAGATTATCTTCAAACTGCAACATCCCTACCCACCTTCAGAGTTTAAGCACTACCCTTTCTACCTCCAGGACAATTCAGCTAATTAGTTCATCTGAATTCCTTCAGACATTACCTTGCTCACATATCTAAGCATTAAAAGCTACTTGTTTCCACTCCATTCTAACATGCTCACACAAGCCTGGTGGATACTCTACCCCACTTACCATTATACGCCTCCTACCCACTATTTATACACCCTTAGTAATTCTATCCCATTCCATCCTCTAGATGCCCTAACCACCTCAACAATCCCTCCCTAACCCTAGCAGATGTAACCCCATACCATCTACCAATTTCTACACTGAATCCTCTGCATGATACTGCTCTCCAATATGAAATCTCCACTACCTAGCCTCATTGCATGTTCAAAGCTCATACCTGACACCATACAAGTGTTGGCACCACTATACTCTGGTGCACTCTCCATTTGCCTTAAACTTAATTCTTGCCATAGATGCCTAAACACACCATCTATTTACTTGCCCTCCTTTCATTTATTTTGTGGTCTACCTCATCCTTCAGACACTACTTGCTAACGTGTATTCCTAAATATCAGTACATCAATTTCTCCCACACTACCTCTACTCTTGTATCCAATCTTTCACTTTTTTTTTTTTTTTTTTTGGGGGGGGCTACTTGTCACTTTCATGCTTTCTATGTTCACTTAATTTCCTACCTTCACAACTTTCCTCAATCTCTCAAAATATCAAGTCCTACTTTCATTGGGAAATAATCCCCTCCTTTATAACTTGCACATCACTATGCATAAAACTGGTTTTAGTAACCAACTTATTCCATACATTTAAAACATCTGCTACATTGCTTGCCTATCCACCCTATCACATGCCTTTCCTAAATCTGAGACAAATTACTCCTTACCCTTATCAAAGTACCATTTAATTACACGCTTCAATGTAAACACCGAACATCCACCGACATTTCTATATCAATATAAAGTAAAACAGCAAGTATTGATTTTTGTGGTTCCATAATACTTGGAATTTCTAGTTTTCCTCTTACTATCACTTTCATCTACCTCTTAAAAAGAGCAATGTAATCAATAGTATTACAAGAATATTACATACATGGCATAACACAATCTTAACTCACCTGTCAGCATCAGTTTTCAGCATAGCATTAGAGAAGGTAGAATTCTTCGTGTCTCCGTCAAGGGCAATTACTCTAGGATTATTTTCTGCCAACTTTGAAAGGGCTGTGCCATAAGCTTGTCTTGTCGCTACTTCTTTACCTGTAAAGTACTGCTATATAGAAAAAAAAAAAAAAAGAGCATAACTTTCACAATAATTAGTCAACCTAGGCCAGGAAGTTTAATACTTTCCTTTCATTATTAACAATTTGCTTTTATTATCTTAAACCAGGGGAAAAAAAACTCACCCATTTTCCATCAAGAGAATAACAAAACTGGAAACAGTGATAATAGTATGCAAACATGACAATCTCAACAATCCAAGACTTTTTTTTTTTTTCTAAAGTGGAGAATTTTGGTAAGCATGCAACATACTGTACATGTAAAGATTTTGTGTTAGGAGCCTGGACATCCAGCAAGCATGTGTACGAGGAATGGAGGCAAGTTACTTGTTGGAGTGTGAGCAAGGCGACGTTTACAGAGGTATTCAGGAAAACCGGTCAGCCAGACTAGTCCTGGGGGTGGGAAGTAAAGTGCCTGCACTTTGGAGGGGTGGGGATATTTTCAGTTTTGAATTTTAGTATTGGTGCCCTGCTGAAAAGCAGAGAGGAATTGTGATTTGAGGGGGTCACTATCTCAGTGGGAGACTGCTGGTTTGATGTATAAAAAAGTAATTTTCCACAGCACCACCTTTTTCCTCGTCTATTCCACATCATTCATAACCCCCCCCCCCCCATCTGTTGACAAGTCTCTCTTCAAATATCTAAATACATCCACTCCCTCCAATCTACTATTCAATCTATTATGTCTAGCCATTAGCCCTTCACACAATAGGAACATTAACAATCCATTCAGTCCTTTGAGCAAATTATCTCATTACCTAGGGGCTATACAATTTCTATGGATATAGAACACCTTAAGTCACTACCTGACCAGCTGAGCTGTGGTTCATACCCAGTTTGCATGCAGCCAGCAGTAATAGCCTGGTTGATCAGACCCTGATCCACCATGAGGCCTGGTCTCAGAATGAGCCGCGGGGGCGTTGACCCCCGAAACCCTCTCCAGGTATAGGAATTTTGCATTGTTACAGGCAAAACACTATGCATTTCTTGGATCTTAAATACCAAGTTATTTCTACGAACTTAATTAAGTATCACTGTTCGTGTGTTAAAGAGGCACAAATTTAAAAGTGGATAGAACTCTTTAGAAAAAGGTTCTGGCTAAAATCAAAATGCCCTCCCTCTTGCCCAGAATTACTTTTGTCCCAAAGTACATTAAAAATTAGTGGAAAAATAAATGGATCTTACTTGGGCACTGAAGAGCTATAAATATATGTTTACCTTTCTCATAATTTGGTGGTGAAGATAATTTTATGTTAGAGATGTCCACCTCAGGAGCATCCTCATGTAGGGGCTTCTGTGGCACCAAGGTGTTAGGTCCTGAATTCTTTATCTGACTTTCAATATGTTCAATAACTGCTTCTGCCTTTGATCCCAAGGGTTTTCCATGCCAGTTCTCTTCATCCTCGATGCTGGGAAAGCCTCGACCCTTGTAGGTTTTTGCAAGAATAGCAGTAGGCTTATCTTTGGTCTGAGAAGCTTCATGGAAAGCCTGAAAGTAGTGAAAAACATCTAATCCAAGTGATTACCAATAATGTGCTTAATATTTTATTTGTTCAACCTCCAAAGTGTAAAGCTTCCAATTTGTATGTTTACTTTGAAGAAGAGAGAGCCCCTTTCCTTCAATCAAACCTCTAGGTTTACTCTGTCGATTCACGGCAACTGGTGAAAATTATTCCATAATTACATTTAAGCTCAGTAAATGTCTATACTGGCTACTAATTGAGAATATTAATAGAAACAAGAAATGGCAAGCAAAATGTACATTAACAGTGTTTTATACCCAAATATGACACGGAATACCAAGTCGTGCAGCATTATTGAGCATTTATAAAGGATGGAGCAGCACAAGATGACCAAGAAGGTATATAAATATGGTGTGGAAGGAGAGAGGGGCAGTAAAGGCAGAGTGCTTTGGGGCTTCAGCATTCGGTGATCTTGTATGAATGCATTAGATTGGAATGAAGACTAAGTACTATTCACGACTGCTGTTAGTGTGTGAAAGGTGAAATTTATAAACAGATGCGGGAAAACCCATTAGTTACACTAGTTTGAGGTGTAGAGTACAGAGCTGTAGATGTTGCAGTTTGAGGGGCCATCTGAATTGTGATGTCAGCATGCTTCTAACAAGACAGCAAATGTTTCCTTGTTTTAGGTCAGCTTGCCTTAGTGGGAGAGCCAGTTTCAAAAATTTGAAAAACCTCCAGTGGAAACTTGCCACACCTTCCACCCATACTAGCAATATGCAGGGTGTCCACAAAAATACTCCCCGATTTCAAACAGGTATAACATCGATGTGATAGTCCAGTTTGGTCCAGACGATCTGCAGCATATCTGGTGTTATCAGGCGAACTGCTTCAATGATCAAAATTTTCAGCTCCAGGGTTGCAGGTAGTGGTGGTATGTAAACTGTGCTCTTCACACACCACCAAAAATAGAAGTCTCGAGCAGTTAGGCCTGGCGACTTCGCAGGCCACCTGCAGAGGTCACCGGACCTAACTGTTTGTTAGTTCTTTATTTGGTGGTTCATGAAGAGCACAGTTTACATACGACCCTGGAAGAGCTGAAAATTTCAATCATTGAAGCAGTTTGCATGATAACACCAGATATGCTTCAGAGCATCTGGATTGAACTGGACTATCGCATTGATGTTTGCCGAGCAACCAGAGGGGCGCACATCGAGTATCTTTAATGCTACCCTATACCACATGAAACTGAAATCCTGCATCTGAAGCTACTAACTGAAAGATTACAATAAAATTACATGTTATACGTGTTTGAAATCAGGGAATGTTTTAGTGGACACCCTGTATTAACGCTTTATTTTTTTTTTTTTAACTTATTTTATAAAGCTAAACTTTCATTTTTAATACCTTTCACTGTCTCAAATCTAAATTATTGAGGTCAGCATCATATATGTAGATTCATGTGCAAATTTTAGCACAAGAGGCCTAGGCATGAGGGACTGGGTTAAATTAATGCACAAATTATCTCTGGTTTAATTGTTAAATGTAATCAGTCTCAAATACTGAAAAATACAACTTTAATGAAAGATACTGCGAGTCTTGAGCACTTAAAGACAGGCGTAGAACATTTCACACATTTGCACAAGTAAATCAGATTTCAAATCTCACCTTGCAGAGTGCCTCCACATCATGTCCATCTACTACAAGAGCATTAAAGCCAAAGCTTTCCAACCTAGTACGGTAAATGTCCATATCATGCTGGAAAGCAGTTGGTTCTGACTGGCCTAAGCGGTTAATGTCGAAGATTGCCACTAGGTTGTCTAATTTTTTTATTCCTGCAAAACTCAAAGCCTCCCAGATGCTGCCCTCTGCACTCTCGCCATCACCAATAAGGCAGTAAGTTCTGAAATATCAAAATTTACAATCTTTTTTACTACAAAGTAACTTGCTAACTGTATTAAAAATATTCTGAATTTCAGCTTGTGTAATTTAAGCAAACTTTTCTATTACTAACAAATGCAGTAGTAAAGGCATTACAGCAATGGAGATAACTAAAGTCATTTCAAGTAAATATCTACTAGTTCAAATATAATCCACTAAATTGAATGACAAGTAGTTTATTAAATCATGAATCCATACACACCTGTATGAAGCCTTATCGAAGTACTTTCCAACATATGCCATACCACATGCCACAGACAGACCTTGCCCAAGGGAACCTGTTGCTACATCTACAAAATTCAGTCTTGGAGTTGGGTGACCTTCAAGATCATTGTCTATTTTACGTAGGTTCAGCAGATCCTTTTGTGCGAAGAGTCCTACCTCGGCCCAGGCTGAAATAAAATTATCCACATCAAGTTTGTAATTTCAAATACGATACAGGAAAAGTTTAACACAATCTAAATTAAATTAAATACTGCCAACAATAGTAAAGAATACACAAGTTTTCAAAAAGAGCTACTGCGATGTTTTCCACCTGCTAAGAAATTTTGTAGTCAAAAGTTGCACATATACAGTGGACCCTCGAGTTTCGGCGGCATCGACTTTCATGAAATCCAACTTTCGGCAAAATTTGGCCTCATGGTTCGTGATTAGGCGACCGTCTGGTACCCGTCCGCCCGCACACAAAACCAGTCTCCCACGCTATTCACGCTCAGTGTGCCATTGTTTACCAACACGTGACCATCACCCCGTGGGTTCATACGTAGTAATCCATTGTTTTTTGCGATTGCAACTGCTAAATAATTCACCATGGGCCCAAGGAAAGCTAGTGCAAGCCCTTTGGTAAAGAAGAGAGGAACACTATCAAATTCAAGAAGGAAATCATTGAAAAAAAATAAGAGGAGTGCGTGTTACAGAGTTTGCCAGGATGTATGGCAAACCCCATTCAACCATCACTTCGATCGTGGCGAAAGGAAAGGAAATAAAGTGTGCTGTTGTTGCAAAAGGGGTAGATATGCTGACAAAAAGGAGATCACAAATCCTAAAAGTGGAGAGGTTATTGTTGGTGTGGATTACCGAAAAACAGATTAAGGACATTTGTGCAAAGTGGACTGAAGTGCAAACATTTATGGATAAACTTCACCCTAACAAAGCTGTTACAGGCTGTATTGGCAACATGTACAATGACAGTGTTGTGTCCCACTTCAGACAAATCTTAAAGAAACGCCAGAAACAGAGCTCTCTGGACAGATATTTTGTGCAACAAGGTTCCAGTTACAAGTTGTTCCCAGGGCCAGTGTCTTTAAAAAACAAAGAAGGGAAGTAACCCCAGATAAGGGCTTCATACGTGAAGTCCTAATGGAAGGAGATTCTCCTTCCAAACAATAGTGTACACCTCCCTCCTATCCCCTCCTCCCATCCACCCAGAAGTCTTCAGTACAGTTAAGTAATATTTTTTTATATGCATGTACTTTATTTCTCATTGTTTTCAGTATGTAAATATTTAATTTGAAAAAAAAAAAAAAAAAAAAAAAAAAAAAAAAAAAATTTAATATTTTTGGGTGTCTGGAACAAATTAATTTTATTTCCATTATTTCTTATGGCTCTCTGGAATGGATTAATCACGAAACTCGGGGGCCCACTGTACTCTAAATGGTCTTAACCAATTGAAACACTGTCCCACTAAAGCTTTATGAAGTTCCTGGCCTATAAAAGTACTCAAAGTTTAAAAAGTGTCAATTTACTTGATAGTTATGTGAAAGTTCTGTAGTACTTAGCCATTATTCACTGCACTAATGAATTAACTCTGTCTTCCACTCCTACCAGTATATGTACTTGTATACGAAGATTTGGCAAGAAAGATATCAAGAGATTGAAATATACTAATTAAAAGGTCTTTCTGAGAATGTATCAACACTTTACTGTCCATAGATAAATAACATTTTGAATGGCTTTTAATGATACAAGTATAACAATTTATGTATTTTACCCTAATAAAAGATTGCACTTTAAAGAAAAAGGTAATATGCAGGAAAGTTTAATGTTTGAAAACCTAAAATACAAATCCGTAAAGGCACCATTAACGGATAACATTGTAGGTTAATGGATAATTTACGATAAATGTTTAGTATCCTCACTTACCAACCCTGAAATGAAGACTGTACAATCAATTTATTAGTTTTCCCCTACTATGCAGTATGGTACAAATATTTTTACACAACAGTATCCTTTTGTACACAACTATACCAAAGGATGCCCAGGTTTCCACTACTGCACCTTTGTTTTAATACATTATCAACAATACATGCATTACTTTATAATTTTTAAACTGTTTATAAAAGATGTGACCACCATACGAAAAATTATATGTTTTAAGATGTACTGTAAACATTTAAGAATTAGATTTTAAATCCTTTATAAAACTGACCAGCATATAGTATGGGAGCTGCATGTCCTTTAGAGAGGATGAAGCGGTCAGAGCTGGCATCCCGGGGGCTACAACGCTTGTATCTCATAGTATGGAAGAACAGCACTGACATAACTTCTGCCATGGACGCACATGATGTTGGATGTCTGAAATTATAAAAATTCTTTAAGACTAAAGTCGAGGGGGGTAGGGCCAGGAGCTAGAACTCAATAACTATCACTACACTATAAAAAAAAAAAACCAGACTGGCACATGTACAGAGTAACATTTTACAAAATGTTAAGTTGTGCTCAACGTGAAAAGCACTTTCAGATATAATCACTTATAGCAATTAAATAAAAAAAAAAGCTGGCATGAAGATGTCTATATTTGATTCACTTGTGAAGAATCATATTACTCAGGAGAGTTGGTTCAAAATTAGGAATAACCACAGACTAATCAATAGCTTGCCGGCTCCATGCCACTGACGTCAGCACTCCAGGTTCTTAGATAAAGGACAAATAAGGTCATTATAATTAGTTTCTATTAGTGTGCCTGACCATTCTAAACAGGGCTCAGGCGGGACTAAGTAAGGAAGACTCGCGGAAATCCTGACGTTTATACTAGTCGATTCATGTGAAAGCGCTAAACCAATAGGGGTCATGTCGGTAATATATAATCTAAAGACTATAGGCTCGCCTACATGGGGCCCCTCTGACCATTATTGTCACGATGGTTCAATCCAAGGGAAGGGAAGGGCATGGTTACTTCCTTTGATTAAAAACCCCCTAACAGCGTCAAGGTATGACCCTGCTGGTTTAGCGATTCGTAATAATAATAATAATAATAAATAATAATAATAATAATAATAATAATAATAAACAGCATCAAGGAACTTTCCGAGGTCAATTTCTGAACCTACATGAGCATTTTATCAATGTTAAGAAGTTATTCTAAGTTAACTTCTGTATATATTACTATTACATTCGCGGGGGAGGAAGCACTAAATTCGTAGGGCAGAGAATCAAGTTAGGTCCAATTCCTCAGATTAAAAGCCTCCGTATTTTCCAGCATGTAAGGAGCAAGACAGAAGTATCAAAACGATAAATCAGTAATCAGTGTTAATTACCCTCTTACTATAATCTAGTAACCCTAAGTATACCCTTGATCCTGACCTTGAACATACAAGGCTCGGGGGGGGGGGAAGCCTTTATATGCAGGAAAACATTGTAACCTGCAGCAAATAACCTTCCTTGAGGGGTGCTATAATACCTGTATCACTAATATTTTAGTGAAGCTCTAAACCCGTGTGGGTTCAGCACATGGCATGTTGGATGCCCCAGTTGAGATTTACAGTCAGGATACACACTAATGTGCCATAATATGCCCACTAATATCAAAAAATTGTTATAAACGGTTTAGAAAAACCGACAAGTTGATGAAACTTGTACAACATTTTGGAATTTTTTTATTGAGGAAACTTGTCGGTTCACAGCAGCTTCATCAGTCCAATACAAAGAAGAGCGGAGGAAGTAGAGGAGCTTGAGGTAATTAGTCCTTCAGCCTGGAATCTTGAGGACTGATGGACTGAACACATGGATTCCAGGCTGAAGGACTAATTACCTCAAGCTCCTCTACTTCCTTCGCTCTTCTTTGTATTGGACTGATGAAGCTGCTGTGAACCGACAAGTTTCCAAAATGTTGCACAAGTCTCTCATTCCTCATAATAAAAGTTTGATGGCTGGGAAAAAATCCATAATCTTTATGAAGGTCATTATCATTGAACAATGTCTACCGTGATAGTCGACTGGTGCTTCAACTTGTCAGTGATGGTGGGAAATACCGCTCTGCAATGATTAGGGAATATCCTAATGTCTTTTTATATTCACCAGGGTATAATCTACCATCATATACTACCTGAGATATGAAACAGCCAGGTATAATGAAGGAACAGCTCCACTTCCTTGGATCACCGGCATCTAGGCACCAGCCTCCATTCACAATGTCAATTTCCACATTTCTATAATACTACACATTTAGGGTTCGATAAATACTTTTAAATGACAAAGACGTGAAGTTAAAATAAGTAAGTTATGCCTGGGTGACCTTAGAGGACACCTGAAGGTCAAGGAGAGCAGGACGAGGTAATATCGACCTACCCAGAGTTGGAGGCCTGGGTGCTCTTTATGGACAACACCCTCAGCTTGTTAGCGATGTCCTCTAGCTCCTGGACCTTGATCTCCATCTCGGTGGTGTTGGCGTTGCTGTGTGGTTTATTTAGAGCAAGGCCAGAGAGAGTACAGCCCATGCAAGTTGGTGCGACACTGACGCTCAGCGCCAGGGAAATTTCTTTATATATTAAGGTGCAGCCGGCAACCTGCGCCCCACACCACCAGTCAACCAGTTAACACGCAGTAATACTCTATTGTATCACCAATAACACACCTTAAACACTATAATTGGTGGAAATTTATCTAGGAGAACCAATAAGGGGGAGTTTAGACACTGTGATTGGCAGGAAAGACCAATCAGAGTGTCAATCAGTCAATGACAGAGTTTGATCTTGACGTCTGGCAACACTTGTCAGAGGCGGCAAACTTAAGCAACATCAATGTCTTTCCTCTTGTATCATATATCACATTATAAAAATACAAAAACTGGAAAAAAAATTGTTAAGGATTATAGTAACAACGAGGCTGGAACTTTCAATATTATATAAACTAACCACTACAAACCAATGTTGTTTTTTTTTTGTTTGTAGGAGAAACGCGCATCGTTTCAGAGAAGCAAATTCTGAAAGAAAACATTATATCTTTGTCCACAACAGGATTCGAACCTGCGCAATCTGCATCAGAGTACATACACAGTACCTGAGTCACACAGCTAGACTCCAGATGGGCGCCCAGCAGAAGCTAGGTGGTGGATCCTATACCACGAAGCCTCAGATTAGTGATAAGTTATTTATCTAATCCTGAGGCTTGTGATAAGCTATTTCATCAAATCTTGTCACATTCAGTGAATTGAAATCTGGTGGTGCGGATAAAGTACTGCGTAATTTGAGGCAGAGTGCGCAGGTTCGCATCCTGCTGTGGACTTAATTTCGGCCGTTTGCGTAATGAACTGTCGGTGATATATATATATATATATATATATATATATATATATATATATATTATATATATATATATATATATTATATATTATATAATAATTTGTGAACTTGAGTGGGTCATCCGGTACAAGTTATGGAGGCTTAATACTCAATTCTTTAATCGTGAGATATACACTGGAATGTAGATGAATGGTTCAGAGAACCGACAAGTTGATAAATTAGACACATGTGCAGCACTTGGGTATCTTTACTGAGGAAACGTTTCGCCACACAGTGGCTTCATCAGTCCATACTCCTGTTCAGCATTCTTTGTATGGACTGATGAAGACACTGTGGCGAAACGTTTCATCATTAAAGATACCCAAGTGTTGCACATGTGTCTAATTTATCAGATATACACTACCAGTCAGTATATACTTATCTCTTATCAAAGAAAGACAGAGAAAGAGAGATAACAGGAGTATCCACGGTCCATATCTTCTGAGAAAGAAAAGTTAAGTTCAAGCTTCCACTAATTATATTTGGAAATTAAAATTATAGCAGAAGGTTCTCTCCTCACCCTCCACTGATCAAGGTTCTCTCCCTCCGCTAATCAAGGTTCTCTCTCTCTCCCCTCCTCCGCTGATCAAAGTTCTCTCCCCACCCTCCACTCCGTCTGATCGAAGTTCTCTCCCCACTCCGCTAGTCAATGTTGTCTCCCCACCCTCCACTCCGCTGATCAAGGCTCTCTCCCCCCACTCTCCACTCCGCTGATCAAGGCTCTCTCCCCCCACTCTCCACTCCGCTGATCAAGGCTCTCTCCCCCCACTCTCCACTCCACTGATCAAGGCTCTCTCCCCCCACTCTCCACTCCGCTGATCAAGGTTCTCTCCCCACGCCCTCCGGACAATCGTCGGCTTAAAAAAAAGATAAGATGATTCATGGCAGAAAATGAGTCAATATTTACAAGGTGGAAGCTGAAACTGGTTACTGCTACTAAGCCAACCACAACCACTACTGTTAGTACTACAACTACTACTGCTAGCACCACCACAATCATCACCACTATTTAAAGGGGTGGACCGGTAAGCCAGCGGAAGGCCTCGGTCAGATGACCAAAAGCTCCAAAGGCGGGTCATCATCTGACTAAGACCCGCGTCAGGAAACATTTGTCCTGTTTCCTGACGAACCTTACCTAACCTAACCACAATCATTACTGCTAGCACTACCACAATCATTACCGCTAGCACTACCACAGCTATTGCCAAAACTATGACCACTGCGAGAGAGAGAATTATCTCTAAAACAAATTATCACATATTCACTGGGAACCGCTAAACCCGTTGGGGATATACCGCGCCTAGGAAGTGTGAAGCAATCAAATTTGATTCGGGGAAGGGCAGGTAGCAGCAATTCCCTGGATCAAGAACATTTCAGCGGCACCAGGGGTGCCTAATTATCAAAAGAAAGGGCCCCTAGCGAAAATAAACTATATCATTTGCCTTAAATGAATTAGTAATCTAATGGTTATATTTACGACTGGGGTGAACCGTAAAGCCAACGGAAGGCCTCGGTCATATGACCAAAAGCTGACATTGTGCAAATTTAAACTGCTAGTCTGCTGCTGTAATTATATCAGTAGCCATAGCAGTGGCAGTCGTAACAATAGTACTAGTAGTAGTACACAGTAATAATAGTAGTAATGTTAATAATAGTAGTAATAGTTTCAATAGTAATAGAAATAGTATATTAGTAGTAGTAGTAGTAGTAGTAG